TTGCTACTGCAACTCCAACATACCTAGGATGAAAGAAAAGTGCCAACAGCGCCAATGGCTGCTCACACTGCTACCATCACTTCTCAACCAACGATACGAGTCCCAAGTTATAAAAATCGCTTAGGAATCCACGATATATATTGTGATATGATATCACGACACCCGCGAGTGTGTTTTCATCTCGCTGTAACCTGTAGGAAACGCTAGAAAGAGGACGGATAACTTCCTCGGCAGATGAAAATTTTCTCCTAAACCCTGAATTACTAGATACGGTTCAGGGAAATAGTCGTCATTACCGTAAATTATGGCAACGTGAAGTGGTGCGGTTCGGACACGCAAAATCGACGCGAAACAGCTCTGCATGCTGTTCCATCGCGTTTCACAAAGACTAAAAAAACCTAATTGTTTTTCGTAGGTTGTAGAAACAATGGCTTGAGGTCTCACCAACCCCTTTGATGACGAATCAACTAGCGTTACAGCTACCAGTGAAGCTTGTTTAGTCCCCTTGCGAAACGACGTCTTCAAACCGCTTTCACCAAGTTGTTCATATCGTGAGCGAAGCAGTGTACAATTGAAATACGAGGGTGGCGGAGTGCTAGGATTCGTCGGGCTCGACCCCACTGACCTGGGCTGTCGGTTACATCTGCACCGATCTCTCACCCCTTTGACTTGATCTCAATCATCACGTTCTCTATTTATTTTGCTATAGCGTGCCGTCATGTCTTGAGCCATATGAAATAGTCCATAAGTCACAGTTGTACTAAATAAAGCTAGCATACACCCCAATAAGGCAACTTCGCCATATTCTGCCACACATCAGACAGGTTACTCAGTCGTCCTCCGCTAGGCTCGAGTCTGTTGTTCAGTGCCAAGAGCTGGCTATCTTCTTCTACGTTTCTGTACTTGTCCAAAATACGAGCCATTTGTTTGCGTTTCGAAAAGGCACGGGCACAGGCCTTGCTCAGAAAGGTGGAGAGACGCAATGGTGACAGTTTTACAACAAAGCGATCTGGCAAGCTGTTGTCGGCTTGTAATTGGAAGAGCGGACGATCACATTCTTCAAACTCGTCCTCACTTAACATATTGTCAGAGTACTCACGGATAAGTCGCTGGCGCTTGTCAGAACTTGTAGACGAAGCCTCTTCGACCACAAGGCTAGTTCGTGTTGCTTTTATCTGTGATAAGACGCGTAAAAGTGCCTGGGGAACCTGTGGCGGCGCTACTACACCGCGTTTAGCGGCATCTTGCTACTATTTGCAGCGCTTGAGATGATTTGTGTATGTAGTTGCTCTTCCGACCACGATCCTGGGCGCGGATGGGTCATCGTTTCGTGCTTTGTCTCCGTAAGAGACCAGACAATGTTTGCACACAAGCTGCGGCGTTTTTCCTATATCGGATAAGCCCGTTTCAGCGAGTTTTTTCCTCTCAAAGCTTTGGGCATGCCTAACTGCGTTTTCCTTTGTGAGTTGGAGTGAAGTGCAGACAAAACGCGAGGGAGGGATCTACGGTTGACCACACGACGTGGCTACGTACACTGGCCGTATAATAGCATCCGAAAATCAGCTATACGCCCAGAAGTACATAGTATACAAAAAGCCGATCGGCTTTATCGTACTAATGAATCGGTTTTTTGAGGATGCCTTTGTGGCTTTATTTTACAAATTAGCTTTAAAACAGAAAGGCGATTAGGCCGATCCCCTTTGGCTGTATCCACACTGCTCCTAGCAGAAATTGCGAAATTGCTCGGCTGGAGCTGAATAATTCTCCGTGATCCGTGATATATCATACATGACTTGAAGGATGAAGTCAAGACGCATTTTCTCCTGTCTACCTGCATTAGCCTTCCTTTTCGTATGGCTACACTTCACTTTCTATCTGTTGTTAGCTAGAAGTGTAGGCGATCTACATTCACATTTCATGCATTTTAGGTTAGATGCGCCTATCATGATGGAGCTGGGAGCGCAACGGAGACCGAAGTTGCTCTATGTTCTGTTCGCCCGCTATAAATCTGCTCCGTCTGCCTCTCGTTTTCTTTTCAGTTATGGAGCGACTAGTACACAACTTGAAGCAAAAGTAGGCGATGTGCTGTTTTTCGACTACCCTGGTGTCTCAGATAAGCTTTAGAAAAAGTAAGAGGGGTATTTATATGAAGTGTATGTGTAGTTCGCTTTTTCGCTGGGAATGAAGTAGAGGCACCATCTGAGGACGCTTGTAATCCGATGGTCGTGGTTTCGATAATTAATGGAGAGCAGGATGTGACAGAATCTCCTCACTTATTCGCGAGCGACTGCATGATAGAGGGATCGCTTTAAATCTTTCGGCGTCATGGTTGTAAGAACCCAAAAAA